ATATATACAGAATACCTGGAACGGATTCATAGTGGTGGACCATGTACTGATATCATAAACAATGACATTCTAAAGCTGGTATTCAACCATTACAGTATTGTTTTAACACAGCATACCCTTCCTTTATAAAATGAGGAATTTCAATATACAGTAAAACAACACTCATAGAACACTTGTATAACAACCACTTCAATAAAATAATCAATATATGTAGGTTGGATTATCTTTTCAGGACAAAGTGTTGTGTGAATCAACTGGAACATTTTCCAATTTGTCCTGAAAATACCCCTGAAATGTGCTTGAACCATATAACTCTGTCCCTTGAAGCTGTGTAACTTAGTATATATTCCAAGTTTGAATGAAATTGGTGAATGCATTCGCAAAAACAGGCAATAACATTATTTTAGACAAAAAATTACGCTTTTTACCTAAAAATGTCCCTAAATGTGCATGAATCATATCAGACAGAAACTAACAATTATGAAATGGTACTGTTGCAACAAAAACTCATTTATGGATCAAAATGAAATAACTTTGACTAGAAAATTAAAAATTGTTTCACAAACAGGATACTTATTATTACTTTGGTCTCTAATCATAATGAATCTACTAAAAATGTGATCACACAGGACATGTGGTCTTTATATAGAGGTGATCACTATTACAGCTTTGACTATAAGGAGTGCATGCAGTTCTATTTGGTTGTTTATAACATTTCCATATTACCGGAGTGTATATTACTATATCTGTTCTTAACACAAATTATCATAACATAGTAAACCAACAACCAATTCTCTAATGTAAACAAGATGCAATGTACAATAAGTTTCACTCAATGTAACAGACTTACCTCACCATGCGGTCATTTTCCAGAGATTCACTGATCTTCTTTAGTGAATCATCCGAGATAGCACGACCAATCAGAGCTTCTGAATTACTGTAGATAAGAAATGACGCTACAACAGCCAATAGACTTCCAATACAGAGTGATCCAATGCAATCATACAGAGGGTTACCTGTATAGGAAGTTAATCCCATACAACTTGCTGCTATAATAACACCAAGAACTGCTGCTGCATCTTCAAGTAAAACAACATTGACACTGGGATCCCGTGCTTCTAAAACTGTAGAGATAAATGGGGCATGTCATTTACCAGGGACAATTTTGCACTGAACTCAAATTACATCCTCAGAATTCAGGTAAATATTCATCAGATCAATACAGTTGAAAGTCTTTGAAATTCTTACTAAATTTTTGGCATGAACATGTTATTTTTTGATGCGGATTACAGAGTTAATACATGAGACTCTAAAGGGAAAGTAAAACGCAACTCTTTCAATTAGAAAATGTATCAGGAAGTACATTTCAAAAAAAATAAGCAGTCTATCCCCTGATATAGCTAGTTGCATAATGAGAAAGAAATATAAAATTAATCAGTATATTCACTAGAATGAGAAATTAATGTTATTGACACTAATTTGATAGAGGAATGAATCAAATCCAACAGACAGTGGACCATTTAAAGTAGCTACATATAAAATATCTAAGCAATCAAGTTTTCAAATAATTATTTTTTTTTACCAAAAATTTTCTAAAAACAGAATTGTAGGTATCTTCACATAATGAACCAATCTGATAAAGTCCCCCAAGAGAATCTACAGTACTTATACAGTATTAAAAAAATCTGGTCAGTCAATGTTACTGCTACTAGGAACTACACAAATACATGTAAATCTGACACACCGAAATATGGGTGCAAAATTTGTCCTATCGCTCGATGTGTATATGATAACTACATGCTAGTTTCTGGGCCCATTTCACGTTTGCAAATAGAACGTTTTAGATAATGCAGCACATTTGGACATGGTTTAGGTGCTACAAAGTTATTTCTGCGTCTCACAGTTTAAATACACACTTACTTATGGGTTTGTCATGAAACTGGTCAAAATTCTGTGGTATATTCATACAGTATATATATGTAAATACAGACTTACTGTATCTCTTAAGGGACTGTCCCCTGGCAAGGGCGCTCTTCTTAAGAGTATTATGTGCCACTAACAAGGTAGCTGAAACATAATGATAAAAATAAATGTAGTAAACACAACATGTGACTACAGACAGACATGGACGAACAGACATCGGTGCAACATTACATCCTGTTTGTTCTTGTGCACACAGGAGCTAATAACAAAACAAGATTTTATGTTCTTTGTTTGTTTGTACCTAAAATCATGTTCCTGAAAACACTATAGAATGTTAGCTTCACAACAGTGCAATAGTTATTTGGCCAATCACATGCAAACCATTCTGCATGAACAAATCAAAAATTGTTTCAAGTGAGAGTACTGTATAACACAGTGCACCTAACTCAATCTTATTTTTGGGTCCAGCTCAAAAAAATCATTAAAAATGGGCTCTGACTGTTTTTGTGATATAAAATTTACTGTGCTTGCTCTATTAAAAATGCATCTCCAGTAGAAGCACACATAAATGTAATTTTTGCTTCATTAAAACCAAAAACACAGGGGTTATAAATAGTTAGTAACATACATGTATGCGCTCACATAAAATCAATAAAGTCATACACAAATTTTATCTATTCAGTATACAATAAACTATTTGTTTATGTGCATGTCTATAAGAGAAAGCATATACAGTGCATGAAAATTCATGTTAACAAATTACCATACCTCCTTCAGATAACAAGGATCCTGCTAATATAGTATACGCCCACATTAATGATTGGATTGGTTCAGGATCAATCATACCCATTATACCATGATACCAAGCCACGCCTGAACCAAGGCAGAAGATACCAACACCACTGATTAAGGAACTGACATAACGTAGATTACTGAATCCATACCTAGAGAACAAATAAAGGTTAACAAAATGGCAGTCACGAACAACATTGCTTTGTTTTGTCATATACCGTACTCGTCCGCGTTAGCGCCCATGCCCGGTCAAGCGCCCAACCCCCACTTTTGCGCAATTTTTATATTCGAGGTCACATTCGGCACCCCTTCAAAACGCCATTAATTTAAAACTTGGTCTTTGATCATTACTTAACGAATACTGGTAATCGTTTTTTATATCATGATACAGCGTGGATATCGACCGCCGTGAACATGTTGTGAATGCGTAGACCACACGATAACTGTGCGTAAACTATGCTTCCACAATGACCTGTTAATAAAAGTAAAATGCAGTAAATATTTCATGCCGTATTCAGTTTACCGATAAAAATTGCTAGTTACCATTTAAAAAAACACAAAAACATGTTGTTTATTCGCCGAAATCAATTCCAACAGATCGTACTTCGACATCGATAATTCACTTCCGCATTGAGTTACCTGAGAGTCTTCGGGAATTTCTGAAGAATTGCGTCGGTACCACAAATCATTTTGATTTAGGCGAGGGTTCTCCGAACCCGCCTATTCACATAGTTCATACCCACCATAGACTCCGGGTCCCCCCCCAACCTCCCCACTTCCGTCGCATTGGTCTAAGTCCTCGAGGCGGAGAGAAAGGAACCAGAGTGATGGACGGCTACCTGTGGCGCTGCCAGGTGGCCTCGGTCACGTGGGTTCGTGGCGTAAGGGGTAAAAGAATCTTGAGGTCATGGGGCTTCCCCTGACTTGGATTCTATCTCTCAGTCACCGGCAGAATCGCTGATTATTGCCTACAGTTCAAAATAGTCATTTTGACTGACTGGA